AATAAGAGTAAATCTGGTTTTCGTTATTGAGGATTTTTTCTGTCACCAGCTTTGAGCACAAAACAATGGGATGCATCATAGTTTCAGAGGCAAAACTGCACCAGTTTAGTGTATATGACATAAAATTGTCCTAAACAAGCTTTGCTACTCTGGCTACTTCTTTTTCTGATAATTCACCAGGAAATAAAAATTAGAAAGCCAGGCAAACACAACGTTGGTGAAACATTGGCAGATCAAGTGTGTTGAAGTTAAAGGAAACAATGAGGAAGAATAACACAATAACAATCTTTAGTAAGACCAAAAACGTTTAAAAATCCCCTGATGTTTGGTGTCACTTGTTGACCTCACAACACTGGAGTTTTATGCTTTTGCATCCAAACTTCCTTTGAATGCACATGTTTTTAATAGTCCTGTAGATCTCCATGTTTGCAAAGAAAATCAGTCTGAATGTTGGTGAAATTTACTTTAAAACTTCACACACTTCAGTGCCTTTAATGTGACTCGATACTCTGACATTTCCTTTTCCATTTGTGTTTGGTTACCGAAGACTTGTCTCACGACGTGTCTATAACACGGATGTTCTGTCGGTAAAATGAAATAGATAAATGTTATTTTATTGTTTTACTATAGATCTGAAATGGAAGGAAAAAAAATATAGCAAATCAGGAAATATTTGTATTTAAGGTTGCCTTTTGTTTTCTTTTTTGTCCATACATATACACACAAAGTGATCCAGTCACCTGAAACTCTGGTTACATTTGTTCAGACTGTAGCGGCTGAAGTGGAGACGTACTGTGGTTTTTCTAACTATGATTTTTAAATTGTTCATTGAAGAAAACAGATTTTTATCTCAGTGGAGTTTTTGATTCTTTCTCCCACTTTACAGGTTTGTATACTTTTTGTAGCTCTAAATTCAGAGGACAGTTCCTGGATGTGACATATGTAAATACAGAGGCAGTGTTCAGTTGGTAAGACTCGGCTTCGTTCCTACCATTAAATGTCGGTTCAGTCTTTCAGCCGGTGGCAGCAGACAGCATGTTGCAAAAACATGTGAAAGAAAATTCTTCCAGCAAATTTAAAGATTAATACATAAAGTTTTAAAATAATATATAAACACCAAATTTATTATTATTTATTGTGATTTTACAATTTTGGGGGATTTGGAGATACTGGATATACAAATTTATTAACAATATTTTTATAAGGGCTGCAAGGTGGAACGGTGGTTAGCACCGTCGCCTCACAGCTAGAAGGTCGCTGGTTCGCGTCCCGGTGAGGACACCCCGGATCTTTCTGTGTGGAGTCTCCATGTTCTCCCCGTGCAGCGTGGGTTCTCTCCGGGTTCTCCGGCTTCCTCCCACAGTCCAGAAACATGTTGAGGTTAATTGGTGATTGTAAATTGTCCGTAGGTGTGAATGTGAGTGTGCTTGGTTGTCTGTCTCTAAGTGTAGCCCTGTGATAGACTGGTTACCTGTCCAGGTGAACCTGCCTTCACCCTGAGTCAGCTGGGATAGACTCCAGCCCCCCATGACCCTAGTGAGGATTAAGGTGTAGAGATGATGGATGGATGGAATATCTGAGGATTAGTGTGAACAGTTGTTATATGTTGACATGTTTTAGACGAGTGTTACTGTCATTAAAGATCAAACTGCTGTTGTTTATTGAACTGAATTTGTTTTATTATGTTCTTAAACTTGTATGGTATTCAAGAACAATCACATCCTAACGTTTGCTGGTATATTTAGAAGGAGAGAATGTTCTAAAAACTTAGAACATTTAAGGCTGAAGTAAAAATCATTATTACCTTTCAGACAGAAGGAGGCTGACGTCACTATCACAGTGCGTGCAAACCATTAGAACGTATCTCACCTAGCTGAGTGGATGACCCATGAACAGGGTCAATGGTTCGCTGATGCAGCGGTCGTGGGTTCAAATCCTGCTCACGGCCCTTTGCTACAGGTCTCTCCACATTCTTCTCCCCCTTCCCTGTCTCTCTCTACTGCGCTAAAATAAAGGCCAAAAGCCCCCAAGAAACACAGTGGTTCTCTAACTGTGTGTCTTGGAATGAATTTTATTTATAAAGATTTATGACCCTTATCATAAATAAAGATCTGAACAACAAAAACATTACTTTTCTCAATAGGTGGTGCGACATCAGTTTCATTGTCATTCATTATTTTGATTAAATGCGTCATACTTCACTTTCATTTTTTCACTTTTCTATTCTTAGCTCATTTATTACATATTATATTGCTTTTTTTTGAGTACACACTACATATGTTCTCGTGTTATGACATCTCGTTTTTGTTGTTGTTTAGCTCTATCTGGCACAATAACTTCCTCCAGGATCAGTAAAGTTTGATTTTATTTTACCTTAAAGTTATAACAGAGGGCAGAGTTGTTGGATTAGATTGCACATGTATGACTAATAAAGTGCATAATTAGTGCAAGGAGCTGCAATAACAGGACAGAAGATCAGAAATGTCTCATGAGAAGCTTAAACTCCTGTTTGACTGTTTTCTTTAAATTATTATTTATTTATTGTTCTATTTGTTTTCTGTTTTTTTAATCGTTATTATTTCTTAGTGGTTTATTTGACATGTTGCTCAGTTTTTGTTTATTTTTTGTCAGTTCAGGTTTGTTCAATAAAGCAAACTAAAAAGGGTAAAACAGGTGTCCGTGCAGATGCCTGTCAGAAATGTGATGTGCTCTGCGCATGCGTGGCTCATCTGTCAGCCTCCGGTTAGTTTTAAAGAAGAGAAGCGGATCGGACACCATGAACCAGGTGGATTCTGTCCAGCAGCAGCGGACTGACAGTGTGTGTCTGGAGGACAAAGTGCGGATGAAACGCCTCCATGAGCCGCA